GCAGTTTGCAATCTTTGCAGGTTATTTGTAATCTTCGCGCTGTACTTTCGGTCGAGCAGGCGCATGTGCTCTTCGAAAATCCGGAAAATGGCTGCGGTCATTCAAGCTCGGCTGTTGCTTCTGTATTGCAGTCTTTGCGTACCGTTTACTTAGGAAAGCACAGGGGCTTTGTCCACTTCCTCAGTATCAGCAGAGGGAGCTTGTCCTCTCCAGTTGCGTTAACATAGATCAGCACTGTAACGCGTTTTTTGCCTTGTTTACGTCCTGATGCAGTTCCACCCGGTGTAGTGTACATGCGCTTCAGCAATAGTTCGTAAAAGAAGGCCGCCTCGTCGAGGTTGTAAATGTCTCTATCTTCATACTGCTGAAGTAGGGCGCTCAGCCGATGCTTATGCTATCCGTCCATGACGTCTGGGTCTACGGCTGCGCTTTCACCAACAATCTATTTTGAAGACAGGCCTTGCCATCTATTGAAGCATTCAAGCCAGCCGTTGCTGCACTTAACATCCTGCTTGCCCATTTGGGCGACTAGTGCTTTGGCTTTTGCGGTCATTGCAGGCCCACTTTACAGAAGGTTTGAATTTACAGCGTTTTTCAGCCATTCGAGAAGACTGCCTCTTTCCACTTCAGAATACATAGGATCACGGTTGCGCTTTCATTTGGCTGAGGAACTCTTCTTGAAGCGGTCCAGTACGGCAGTTTCATTCTTCAGAACAGTTCATAATGTTGACGGCGATATTCTCAATAGTTATCAATTTCAGACTTCTGCCGGCCTCTTTTCTTCCACCTCACCTATCAGTTGAACTGTCTGCTTCCATGGCAGACACTTCCACGTGGGCACTAGTGGTGCCATGTTCATTTGGAGGTAACTACAAGCGCTCACGATGTGCGCACACATCACAGGGTTCAGACAGACCTCGCACAACACACGCGCACGTGTCTTCTAACCACGGCTGGAAAAAACCCAGAAAGCACGCTGACGCTCCATACTAGAGGGTCACGTGACATCACCAGCGTAGCCAGTGGCATAGCGGCAGGGATTAGCCAGCACGTTTCAAGCACCTCTGTAGCAGATAGCACCGGAGTAGGGTGCGGAGGATGACGGCAAAATTTGCGCCGCGGAGAGTTTCCCGCCGTCTCCACCAGTCTGCACTGACGCGCTTTAGCCTGGCGACGCTAGCACAAACATCGTTGCTCAGCGCAGAAAAGGCCGCTCGTCGCAGGGCATGAATGAAAAAAGCGTGCGGGCACTTCGACAACATGGGCGGTCGCTCACCGGCTGTTAGCGCCGCCGTCAATATAGATTCCGCAACCGTTACTTCGTTCTAAGTGAAGCAAGCTATCGACATGCTTCGAGTAATCCGGTCTAAAATACACGCATTGGGGTCGGGACTCCGTGACACTTTCATAGAAGCGATAATTCCAATAAAGCGACTTCATTGTAATGAGGGTCTATTGTACTTAATTTTGGTGCACTTTCTGTGTTGACTCGCTGTCGAAAACATTGTCGTAAGTGTCCATGTAGTGAAGGGTATTGGCATTTTGTGACATTCACAGCTTAGTTCACTTTTTGCATATCTTGAATTATCAGGAACAATTTCTGTCACGCTGTCTATGAAAGGTTCGTGGTCAAATGGAAAACGCCAAGGCACACGTCACTGTACAAGGCTACGGTAGTGAGGCCAATTGGTCTTAGAACTCGACTTGAATGGTTACAATAAGCAGTACAACTGCGTTATTCTTACATTGTTTGGCTGTGTTTTTTTTTACAGAAAGAACAGGACTAACGCGATGTTAAGGAATCAAGCAAGTACTAAATGTGCCTTTTTTTTTTTTCAAGCTGTAGTAGCACCTGTTGCATAAACACTAGCCTAGTTTCCTTCTGGAGTTTTTCTAAAATGCCACTTGAATGCAAATTAAAGCAGCATTTTTTCAATACATTAATGGACTGGCATTATGTGTTGAATCCTTGATAACACTCATTTTGTTTGATATTCGGGATAATTAGAGTGTAGCCTCATCAAAGTAAGCTTAGCATTTTGGCACATATCAGCACCTCTGCATGTAGCCTGCAACCAGAGAAAGAGAAAGTCATGCACCCAACTACTTGTGCTTAACAGTGCTCAAAATTTGAAAAAGCAACCCCTCCTTCCCGTAGTGTATTTTAAATGTAAATCTATATGTATGAAGTCAAATAGTATTAATGATAATTAACAGACAATGATTCCAAGAGAAGTATAGGTGATGTTGCTAGTAATTAATGCAGTGTAAATGGGACTAAAGAGAAGTGAACGAAAAGATAACTTGCTGCTGGCAGAAAATGGTGGACGCAGGTTCGGTTTCTGCTCACTGCAAGTTATCATTTCGTGGAATTTTCTTTGTTTACATTCACATTCCAATCACATTTAATAACATGCCCTATACATTGTCTGTTATTTCTTCAATATTGTGTCTAAAAAGAAATGCCCCCCCCCCCCCCCCCCCAAAAAAAAAGCCCTTAAATTTGCAGTCTTTTCCATCAAACGGTATTGTGCTTTACCCTCTTGCTTTTCAGTTTGCATCTGTTTACATGGCTTCAAGGCAATGCATTTTGCACTGCTGTGAAGCTGCAATGAAAGCATTTATTTGCATGCGTGCCACAAGCTGTCCTTGTAATTTTTGCATTCGCATACTTTTCCCAGGATGACTGTCATATGCAAAGTATTATATGGCTGACGAATACAGCGGTGATGAATATTGAAAGCAACATAGAGGTCATGAATTGTTGCTCATAATGAAACAAATATAATGTCTTGGTGGTCATGTTCACTTCAATTAGTATTGTTTTCCTATTACAAAGCCAGATGTGTAGACTTTGACAATGTATCAGTTATAGTGAAGCATGTTAATTAGCCTGTGGCTCAAAAATAGAGTGTTCTAATAGAAAATACGAGACAGAGTTGCTGAGTGACTTTTTAATTATAATTTAAGAGACCTTGCAAATTGGGCATGTCTCTCTCTTTCTTCCTTTTTTGTTTCTATTCGTCAATTTGGGGGGTGTCACAGTTTTATAGTTGAAACATTACAGAAATTTCTGCATGAGCATTTTTATATTTTAACCTGTAAAAATAGTTTCACTTAGGCAAATAAACTCTAAACATCGAAAACAAACAAGAAAAAAAAGCTCTGTAAAATGCTTTCTCTTTGGATAATTGAAGGACAAGCAAAGTGCAAGTTTATTCAGAGGAGCTTCTCGTTGTCCTAAGTGAATGCAGCACTCATCCACTTGGCCTCTCTGACAAAACATATTGCTTGGGACAGGCTTTGTCAGAGAACAATTTTGTCAATGTTGCGTTCAGCCGGCGCACGTTTTGTTGGCTGCTCTCTTCTCCCGACACTGATCTACCTCGCTTTTCACGCTTGCCTTTTTGCTTCTTTCACCAGGAGTACGTCCTGATCACGGTATGTGCCATCTGTGCTCTTTGCTGTTTCTTTCTTTGATTCACTTGTCTTCTCTTTCAAGGCCAGGATCTGTGGGGCTCCCTGGCTACACTATGCTGCAGTTACGCAGATAAAAATTATTATTATTTTTTTGCCTTCACTGCACAATCATATTCGAGTTCAATTGCTAGAGCGCTTCATGACAGATGCAGTTTGCTGAACGTGGCTTTGAAGTTGTGCAAATGTAACTCCGTGGGGCGGGCCTTTTGTCAAACTAGTTCACTTATGCTGTAAGAAACTGTCATGGTAATTCACTTTTAGAGTTAGCACCATGCATTTTCATGAGATGTTCTAGAAGTGTTACTATTAAATGCAAGCGCAGTTTCTCTACGAAACCTGCGGTAACTACACTTTTCTTCACCTGGTATACCAGTCATCCTTATTGCTGAAGCAGTGTAAAAAGAAAACTAGAAGAAAGAAACCCTACCATTATTAGACCATTTAGGCAAAGTACGCCACAACCGCCGACATAAAACCCTAACAATTAGTATTGCTGACCGCATAACTATGATACACTGCTCTACCGAAACTGCACAATTACCGTTACATTGCCATAAATAAGCAACAAAGAAAATGAAGTACAGTGCTCATGAATTGAAATGAAACACCTAACCATTAAGTAGAGCAACTGGTGTGTGCAATTGCTCAGGATAACTGCACCATGTCTTTACAAGTTCGACCACTAAAGGTGCTGATAGCTCATGGTGCTGTTGGTTGTTGTCTCGTGGTGCAAAGGTGCTGTTGGCTTCATGCACCTACATTCGGTGCTGTTGGCTCGAATGTAAGTGCACAAGTTCATGTTATGCCGATGGAAGACAACCTAGAGACTATAGGAACGAAAGCATGTTAATCTCTAAGTCGATGTGTTTGAATCCGTCAGCACTGAACAAGCGGGGCTGGCAACTGTATCACTTCTAATGAGCTGTAGCTGCTGAATTGTGTGTTGAGCTGACCCATATTTTTTGTCATTGCTGTAGCTAGGCATTGCTCTTTTCCACTACAACATTAAGGTGCCTGATCCCACTGCAGGCTGTGCTTTCTTTTTGTTTATGTTCACTCATTGCATATGGGCATGAAGTTGTGTTTGTAAAGCGTGACTTGACATCCTAGACACATGCCAGTGCTCCTTCTCTGTAGTGTATTAGCAAGAGCCAATGAACAGAACAGAAGAAAATCTCTGAAACTCAAAGTACGGAAATTGTGAAGAGCACCAGTAGCATGAGTGCTGCAGGACATTGTTCTTTTGTCATTGACGCTTACGCAAGATGCCAGAGTCATTCGTAGTTGCTTGCGACTCCTGAGAATCAAGCTCATTTTGTGCACGGTATACGTCACTGTTTCAATGAATGCATGATTGAACACAACCATCGAATAATGCTCCGGATAGCAAATAATGTGTTTGTAGTATTCTTTTGTCATTTGATGCCCACCCAAGCGCCTTTATTTCACATTGCTACCTTGTTCAAGTAGTACCCGTAGATTATTTGCCGTATTCTCATCACATGTGTACAAAACGTCAGAGCCTGGAGGAGCGCGTCAAGGAGCTTCAGGCGGAGATGGCACGTGATCGACAAGAACAAGAGGCGGCCATGGCAGCACTCGGGGAGAGCCACACCCAGGCACAGCAGAGGCTACAGCAGGAGAGCCTTGCAGCTCTGCTGCGTATGCTCGGTAAGCTGGGCAAACTACTCCTTGATGAATGCTTTCATACCCTGTATTTTAAATGCGAATGCATTTCTTAGTCGGGCTATGTCAGGCATCCGGCAGCAGCGTCTGCAGCGGCAGCCGTGCGCCAGCAGGCCCTATCGCTTCGCTCTCACTACCCCTCCCATAGCAACTGCTCTGCGTGGATGCACTTATCCTCGCCGCTAGCAACCAGAGCATGTGGTGCGAGAAAGTGTAGAAGAGAGTAGGTGCAGTGATTCGCTGCTCCTCCTTCCGTTCGCTCTCTCTCCTGTGCCCCACTCTCCTGTCCATTCGCGTCGCACTCTCAACCGTTCGCTGGCTGGGCGCCTCTCAAGAACATCCGGAAATGTGTACTCGAGGATGCCGCTGTGCAACTCCAACGCCGAGCCGAGAGCACTAGCGCCCCGCTCTCCCGTCCGCTTGCTCCTCACTTTCACCCGTTCTCTGGCTGGGCGCCTCTAAGGCAGTGACAGAAGTCGGTGAAGGCGGATATCTGATGGCGACGGTACTCTCTCGGCGCAAGAAATGCATTTCTATTTCCTCACAATTCCCTTTGGGGAAGTGGGGTCATTTTTTTCACGTACAACACTCCCTTGCATATAGCCCCCCCTTTCCTTATTTAAGGGAGGAGGGGGAAGGCCCCCACCCGTGTATTGATATGCAGACACCTTCTTTGCATTACATGCTAGCCATGCCATGAAGCCACCATTCACTCTGAAATTCGGGCATAACTATACCTCAATATTGGCTCCAAATTTTCTGTGTAGTTGGTGCAGGTTAAACACGAGATCATAAGGCATTCAAAGTAAGGGTTGGTTGCAACATATCGAAGCACTGTGGAACAGTAGCCAGCAAGGGGTCTTAAAAAGGCTGAATTACGTTTCGATTTGTGGGCTTGTCTCTTTAAAGGTGACATAGTTATCCCCTGTGTGTTAGTTTTAAGTAATTAATACATGAATGTCATGGGAATAAAAAAGGGCAGCAGTTTTCTTCTTGGTCTTATGTAGAAGGCCACTACTGACAGCAACATCACGTAAGGCCATCTACTAACCCTCTAATGCACATTGGATGACAATGCCATCTCTGTTATCGATTAGTCTATGTACTGAAGTTAGACCAACCTATTTTGACATCTTTACCTTGCTTATATGACATTTACCTCTCTTAATATGGTACAGTGCTGGGACAAAAATGCAGCGAAGGGCCACAGGTCCAGCAGACAACTGTGCTCTGTGGCATGCAAAGGTGGTTGTGAAATTACTACTGAGCTCCACCAGAGAGCTCATTAGGATTTATAAGAGAAAGCCAAGACAAACATAAACATGAAGAAAAAGAAAAATTGTGCTTGCAAGCAAGTTGCAGTTCCCTAGGGTGTGTTATCTCTTCATTATGATGTGATTTGTCACGGAAGTTGAATAGTACAGTAGAACATTTTTATACAGTCGACGTCCAATTTTCCGGACCCTCCCCGCAGGGGCGCCTGCGCAAGTAGGCGTTTGGTGTGTAGCGACACCACGGACCCGAGCTAACGGGGGAGTTTTGACTCCCTCCAACGCCTAGCCGTGCGTGGCTTTGCCGTGTCCGGGGAAAAGGGGATCCTGGGGGTTGAGCTGACGCTGGGTGATTGGACCTTTAAGGCCCCCCGGCAGAGGCAACACACCCCTTTGGCCCCGGCTTCATGTAGACGGCACCCCTGGGCTGACCCACCTAGGGGAATTCGGCAGTCGCCTTTTCCTATCTCTCTCTGCCTACATCTTCGTCTTTATCACTCACTATCTATCTGTCCTGTCTTCTACTCTCTTCTGTTTACTTCCATTTTTCCTGGCGGCAAGGGTTAACCCTGTGCAAATAGCCTACCTTGGTCTAGGCGCATTGGGTTATGGCAGTGTTGTACGGCTGACGTCTGCAAGCTTTCAGCACCTGCAAACTTGCAGCGTCCCCTTGTTGGGCTCCGTGGTGGGTGGCCGCCAACGCTGCTGAACAAAAATAAGACCGGCATGCATGGAGCATTCCCTCTTCTGTCTGATCGTACCGGCCTAAAGCGGGTACGCACCGACGACATAAATTTCTTCAACCAGCCAACAGACATTTTTCCCCACTTCCACGTCATTCACTGCGAAAAAACCGGAAAGCAAGCCAGGATCGTATCTCCTTTCGTAGTTGCAAGGTGTCTTACTGAAACTCTCGGGGCTGGATACAAAGTAACCAAAATGGCAAGCGGAGACCTTCTTCTAGAAATTTGGGACAAAACACAGTTTGTAAAGCTAGACAGCCTCTCAACGTTTGGTGACGTACCGATCACCGTAACACCGCACAGATCTATGAACACCACTCGCGGAGTGGTATCTGATGCAGACTTACTTGACTTGACCGAAACTGAACTTTTGGAAGGGTGGAAGAGCCAAAATGTCAATAATGTACAGAGTAATGTATTATCAGAACACAGATAATGTATTATCAATAATGTAATGTAATGTACAGATAATGTATTATCAATAATGTATTATCAGAAGAGATAATAAGGAAATACCAACGAAACACTTAATACTCACGTTTGCATCCAGTAAACTACCAGATTCCATTCAAACAGGGTACACGAAAACATCTATCAGGCCGTACATACCAAACCCTCGTCGTTGCTTCCAATGCCAGAGGTATGGCCATGGCTCTAAAACCTGTCGTGGTCGCCAGACTTGTGCACATTGTGGAGTCCTAGGCCACGTGTCTGAGAACTGCAAACAACCGCCACACTGTGTAAACTGCGAAGGGAACCATGCCGCATATTCACGCTCCTGCACATACTGGAAAAAAGAAAAAGAAATAATTACGTTGAAGGTGAAGGAGAACATTACATTTAAGGAAGCACGGCGAAGAGTCGCTCCATTCTATGGAGCTACATACGCTGATGCGGCGCGTCAGGGGGCACCGCCGCACCAGCCCTCGCCACTCCTTCGGCCCGCGCATACCGAGCCGGAGGTTGTGGCACCTGCTTCCAAGGCGGTTGTAGTCCAGGCTACACCGCCTACTCCCAAACAGAGACCGGAGACTCCAGAGTCCTCGGGTCTCAAGGACTCACCTCACCAGGCGAGGCCCGAAATTCGAACTAGCAGCCCGCACGTGCGGGCATCCAGTGCCTCCGAGGAGGCAATGGATACGTCGGTACCCTTGGTGCCGAAAGAGGGGCGTGGCTCCTTGGAGCGCGCCAAGAAAACAAAAAAGCCAATAACAGGGCCTGGTGACGGCCCTGTTAGGTGAACTCAAACTCCCTGTCTAAACAGCCACTCGCTTTTCGTACACACAGCACTATTTTACATTCACCATGAACACTCAAATTATACAATGGAACGTCAGGGGCCTTCTCAGAAACCTTGACGACATCCAAGAACTCTTACACGAACACTCACCAAAAGTGCTGTGTGTACAAGAAACACACCTTAATTCAAAACACACAAATTTTCTTCGTAAATATGTTATTTTCCGAAAGGACCGTGTTGATGCTATGACATCATCCGGAGGTGTTGCCATCATAGTGAATCAAGGAATTGCATGCACACACTTACAACTCCAAACATCCCTTGAGGCAGTGGCTGTTCGAGCAGTTCTTTTTGATAAACTGATCACAATCTGCACTATCTACATTCCTCCTAGCTATCAGCTGCAAAAACGTGATTTACACTCTTTAATTGATGAACTTCCAAAGCCCTATGTTCTCCTTGGAGACTTTAATGCGCATAGCAGGCTATGGGGTGACTCTCGGTATGACGCGCGAGGTCGACTGATTGAACAGTTCCTTCTCTCCTCGAGCGCGTGTCTCCTAAATCGAAAAGAACCAAGCTATTATAATCTCGCCAATAACACCTACTCCTCCATAGACCTAAGCATAGTATCTCCATCTCTTGTGCCTCTACTCCAGTGGAAAGTCGTCAGTAATCTGTACGGAAGTGACCACTTCCCTATAGTTTTGAGCACAAATACAATAACTGAGTGTTCATCACCTGTTCCCAAGTGGCTCATAAACAGAGCCGACTGGGAACACTTTTATACCATCGCTCGTCTAGGTTGGAATGACATAAGTACTTTGAGCATTGATGTTGCGGTCAACTACTTCACAGCGTTTTTGATTGATGCTGCAACAAAATGCATCCCACAAACAAATGGACACCCTGGAAAACGGCGTGTGCCATGGTGGAACTCTGAATGCCGAAACGCGCGCAAACAGCAAAACAGAGCTTGGAGGCTGCTTCGGAACTCACCGACAGCCGAAAATCTCGACAGGCCAGAAGAGAAAGCGTCGGCAGGCCAGAAGAGAAAGCTGGCAGAAGTTTTTGTCAGGGATCAATTCATACACACAGGAAGCTAAAGTCTGGAACATGGTCGGTAGGATAGCCGGAAAACAAGTACACACACTTCCACTCGTAAACACTCAGGGTGACACCTTGGAAGATCAGGCCAACTTCCTCGGTGCACACTTCGAACAGGTGTCCAGCTCATCTCACTATACTGACACTTTCCAAAAATACAGAACAAGAATAGAAAAGCAGAAACTCGAACACAAATGCACTAGATACGAGGCATATAATCAAGCTTTCAGTCTAGCTGAGCTGCGAATGTCTCTAAACTCCTGCAGTACTTCTGCCCCAGGTTCTGACCGTGTCATTTATGAAATGTTAAAAAACCTACCGATCGAAACACGAAAAACCTTACTTTGTTTGTACAATGCTATCTGGTTTTCTGGCACTATCCCTAACTCCTGGAAAGAGGCTATTATAATTCCCATTTTGAAAGAGGGCAAGGACCCTTCTTTACCTTCGAGTTATAGGCCTATTGCACTCACAAGCTGCTTGTGCAAAATCTTCGAAAAAATGATAAACTGCAGACTTGTACATTTCCTTGAAACAAACAATTTGCTCGACCCATTTCAGTGCGGGTTTCGAGAAAGTAGATCCACCACAGACCACCTTGTTCGTATCGAGGCACAGATCAGG